CAGATGTTTGAGAGCCACAAGACATGAACGCACACATTTTTACTGAAAAATATATAAATCTGCGTATTAAAGAGACAACTGCCTTCTCTGAGCCAAGCCAGTCTGCCAGTGTGGTGGGGCTTGGGGAACACATTTAACTTTAGATGGGGGGGGGGGGGGCCATCAATGACAGAAAAGTGGAAAGAAAGCAAATAGATGGGGGAGGGAGGGAGAGGTAGAAAGGGGGGGTGGCTTTGAGAATGCACTTAAAGTTGCTTTCTTTCTCTGCTTCATCCCACCTCAAGCCTACCCAGGGAGAACACTGGCTGGGGAAGGGAAGACCAATCAGGGAGGCATGCCTCCCCTTTGCTTCCCCAGCCACCCTGCCGGGAGCCGCATAATATGTGTGAAAGAGCCGCATGTGGATCCCGAGCCACAGTTTGGCCACCCCCGTTCTAGTACCACTAAACTATCTGTAGGCACTCCCACAGCCATTGCCCCTGTTCTAAGGCTCCGTATCAGTAACAGCCGATCTTTTGGGGAAGCGAGTGAGACAAATCAGGTCCAAAGTTATCAGACACGGTCACCCCAGTGCACACTGCAAAACATACGCAGCCCACCCTGTACCTCAGTGTGATGCCTATCTCTAGCTTAATGTAATGGTAATGGTAATGGTTCCCTTGCTCGAAAGCCAGTCGAGTCCGACTCTAGGGTTGCAGTGCTCATCTCCGTTTCCAAGCCGAAGAGCCAGCGCTGTCCGAAGACGTTTCCATGGTCATGTGGCCGGCATGACTAAACACCAAGGTGCACGGAACGCTGTTACCTTCCCACCGAAGTGGTACCTATTTATCTACTTGCAATTTCTTGCTTTCGAACTGCTAGGTTGGCAGGAGCTGGAACCAGAGATGGGAGCTCACTCCATCATGCGGCACCCGGGTCTCGAACTGCTGAACTACTGACCTTCCACAGTCTGCAGTTCAGCGTCTTAACCACTTGAGCCACCGCAGCTCTCTAGCTTACAGAGCTCAAAATCAGGCAGCAGGATAAGAAAGGCAGGCATTCGTGGTGGCCTGGATCTTATACCACAGCCAGAGTCACACGTCTTCCTGCTCTTGGCCAGGAATGC